CTGCCCACATCATGACATCGTGGAACCTAGTGGATCCTGGAGGGGGCGGGGCATCTCAGGGCTGCGAATGACCGGCTTCTGCTCCGACAGCTGCTGGAGTCTTTGGTGGCGCCTGGTGCCACCGACCGCCCCCTCTCGCACGAGCGGAGACGGTCCACGAGACGCGTCGCACCCCGGACAGGTGCAGCGCAAGGCATGCCACACCACGCCCAGGCTGCGCGCGCCGCACCCGCTGGCCCACCAGAGTGCCCGAGCGGCCCCCTTAGGCAAGTGGTGCCGCAGGAGGTGCTGCCGCTGGCCGCCGTCGTGGTGCTCGCCTTGGTGACTGTGCTGTGCTGGTTCACAAAGGTCAGAGCCCCGAATCATCAGGGGTAACTCGGGTCAGGGTTAACTCGGGTTCGTTTTTCGGGAACCCAAACCCGAGTTATCCCGGACCCGAGTTACCCCGGATATTTCGGGCGTCCAGGGCCCCGAATCATCAGGGGTAATTCTGGTCAGGGCTAACTCGGGTTCGTTTTTCGGGAACCCAAACCCGAGTTACCCGGGACCCGAGTTACCCCGGATAATTCGGGCGTCCAAAAAGGTCGTCGTGGACGTTGTGGTGCTGTGTGTTGCGGCTGCGCGGGGTGGTGCTGCCAGCCGCCAGCGTGGCGTTCGCTGTGGTGCTTCCGCTTGCCGCGGTCGACCTGGCACTTGTGGTGCTCTTGTTCGCGGGCGTGGCTGCGAATGGCGCAGCTGCCCCTGGACGTAGGCAGTCGATGTTTTGAGCAAGGTGGTGGAGAGGATCGGAGAGGGTCGGGGGATCGTTTGGTCCATGGTCGCAGTCGTCGTCTCTTCTCCCTGCCGCCTCCTTCTGCCGACGGCGTGTGTCCGGCGCTGGAAAAAATCGCTCCTTTCACGAACTCCAGCGGGTTCGCGCTATTCCGTCTTGCAATGGGACTCAGCGTTGCTTCTTGCTGCGCGCCATTGCTGCGCTGCACAAAGCGAGCGTATCGCCAGGCGAGACCCGCTCAGTCGCCGAGAAACTCACCGAAGCACGGCGGTGATGGCAGGGGTTCGTGCTGGCTTCGGGCTGATTATCCGGCTGATTTTTTCGTCCCTGGCGTGCTGCAGCCACCTTTGGCACCACGGCTTCCCTTGGGCGAGGGCTCGCCGTAAGCTTCATATAGATCCGCTGCGATGGGCTTCTTGGACGAGTCATATGCGGAGGCCCTGCATTGGGCACAGTGTTTCGCGCGTTGCGCATGGATGCGTCTCATCCGTGCTGGGGTGTTGCGACCGGCGACGTGCATCAGCATTGCAAGGTTTGTCGGCCTTGCTATCCTACAGATACCAGACAGCGGGGTGCAGGCGCCTTTGGCCGCGCGCCAGACAGGGTCCGTAGTTCTGCAGCCGCTGACGGGCAAGCGGGATCGACCAGGCGAATGCTTGTTTCTGCTTCTGGATGGTGTTCTAAGGGTGGGTGCGTTGCGGCGCCGCCGCGCAGGTTGCCTTGATGTCGCGCGATGTCGACCGCACCGCCATGGGCTGCCAGTTAAACCGAACGACACATTACAAGCAAGCGCAAACAACAACCCAAAACAAAGAGCGAGAGCCAGACCCGTAGTTGGGCACTGCGTGCAGACAGCGGCGGAGCGAGTGCGAGGTGAGAAAGCAGGCTGGTCCAGCAAACCAAACAATAGAGGAGGAGGAGGAGGAGGAGGAGGAGGAGGAGGAGGAGGAGGAGGAAGAAGGAGGAGAGGAGGAGGAGGAGGAGGAGGAGGAGGAGGAGGAGGAGGGGAGGAGGAGGAGGAGGAGGAGGGAGGGGAGGAGGAGGGGGAGGAGGAGGAGGAGGAGGAGGAGGAGGAGGAGGAGGAGGAGGAGGAGGAGGAGGAGGAGGAGGAGGGGAGGAGGAGGAGGAGAGGGGAGGAGGAGGAGAGAGGAGGAGGAGAGGAGGAGGAGGAGGAGGAGGAGGAGGAGGAGAGGAGGAGGAGGAGGAGGGAGGAGGAGGAGGAGGAGGAGGAGGAGGGAGGAGGCGAGGAGGAGGAGGAGGAGGAGGAGGAGGAGGGGGGGAGGGGGAGGGTGTCGATCTTTCGATCTTGGATCGTGTTTAAGGTTCGCTCCATCCATAGCCATTTGGCTGCAGGCCTTCATTGAGGGGCCAGCAGGGTCCCGGGGGCCATCAGAGGCCCCCCGTCTTTCTCCTACCTTCTATTCAATCGAGCCCAATACCACACATCTCTCCCTCCCTCCACACTCCGTGTGCAGATATAGTGCTGGTGACGAGTACTGTGCGGTGCAGGCGGCGCTGCTGGAAAGAAGAACGTGCAGAGCTGCTTTGGAGGACAGCTCGAGGGACGAGGTGTATTCAACCCTGTGAAGCTTCGCTTCACATGGTAGCGGAGCAGGTTTCTGCTCCATGGAGAATGTGACACAGGTTATTCCTACGTGGAACGGTAGTGCTGCGACATGGGAGCGGTACCAACAAAATGTGATGAACTACGTGGACGGCACGAAGTGGGAGGACAGGTACCTGTGCGGCCCCAGGTTGGTGGCACGCCTGTCCGGACCTGCAGCAACGGCGTGCATCGGTCGGCCGAGAGGCTGGCTCTCGTCCATGCGGGGTGCTGACAAGCTGCTGGAGCATCTCCAGCAGACGGTCATGAGGCAGCCTGTCGAAGACGTAGGCCACGACATGGAAGAGTATTTCGTGAAGCTCCGCCGCCGGCGCGGCGAAGGTATGGCCGAGTATTGCCTGCGGGTACACGAGAGCTACCAACGATTGCGGGTGGCCCTCTCCCGGATGATCGGGAAGACGGAGATCGTGAAGACACCAGCTGCGACAGCGACGACCTTTGACAAGTGGCCAGTGGACGCGGGGTCAGGTTCGTGGCATCGGATTGGCGGCGGTGAAGAGGGCACCGTTGTAGATGCTGAACCTGACGAAGTCCGAGACTGGGAGGTCGAGGGAGGAGCTGACGGACAAGACTGGTGGCGGCAACACCGATGGTGGCAGGGCGGCTGGAAGGACGATCACTGGCCACAGTGTGGTTTCGACCGTGAGAGCCAGGGGACGTTTCCAACGCAGGACCTGCCGGAAGTTCTCCCGAGCCTCGTCCGGGGATGGTATCTACTTCACAGAGCGGGCCTGGACGGCGGAGAGATCGCGGCGGTCATCGGATCGTGCCGGGGTGATTTCACAGTGGACAACGTGGAGAGTGCGTTACGTACGCAGTGGCCCAGCGACGAGAACCTGAAGGACCGGGACTACAGGAAGTCAAAGTTCATCCGCCAGCAGGTGGCGGCCGCGGCTTTCTACGGCGAGGACGCTCAGACCTGGAACGGAGAGGAAGAGCGTGATCACGCTCTCGTATCGTCGGTGGCAGAAGCTGAACAGGAGGAAGACGGTGATGAAGGCGACGACTCAGCTTTTGCCAATGCCATCGACGAGGAAGAGGAAGCTTATGCACAGTTCCAGGCCAGTCAACGCCGACTTCAGGACGCACGACAGCAGATCAATAAGCACAGGACGGGACGGCGTTTCTTTAACAATAATGGTGGATCTCGAAGTGATGGACGCCAGGGGCCCTGCCTGAAGTGCGGAGGAGCCCATCGCACGGGTGCGTGTCCAGACCGTGGAGATCCAAAGCTAGCTGGACGTGCACCCGGTCCTCGAGGCACTCCTCAGCAGGGAGAGAAGTTCAACGGCCTGGTCCTGACAGCAGAGATCACCGACGAGGATCACGTTGACCTGAACAACAGTGTGGACCTAGATGACCCGGAGATCAAGATGGCCTACATCGTGTCGAGGACGACGGAGATGGGCCACGGGATCATGGACTCCGGAGCTACGAAGACCATCGGCGGCATCGAGGCAGTGGAGGCCTTGAATGAGCTCCTCATTGCCAGGGGTCACCCGCCGATGGAGGTGGACTTGACCGACCGCCCGGTGTACAAGTTCGGGAATGGCGAGGTGAAGCGGGTCCTCTGCCGAGTCAAGTTCAAGTTGCAGGTCAAAGGAGTGTATGTGTCTTTCCTGGTTCATGCGGTCGACGCTCCGGGGATTCCCATTTTGGTGTCCATCGAGACGCTGAGGCAGCTCGGAGCCGTGATTGACTTCGAGGCCGGCATCGGCGTCTTCAAGAGCATCGACCCGCACAGGATGATTTCCTTCCAGAGGTCCAGGACTGGCCACCTCCTGATCGACTTGACGTGCGATCTCCTGGGCGACGTCGGGGTCACCGACAGGCCGGGGGATTGCATCTTGAGCCGCGGCGTGGCATCGCTTTCTAGCCAGGCGCCGCTACCAGCGCTTGGAGATACTGACGAGGAGGCGCCAGAGTGTGCGTCATGCATTCCTCCTCCACCTCCTCCATCGGCTCATCACGTCATGGCGACAGACAGCGACGGTACGGCAGAGACAGCACTGATGGCGACGGCATCGTTGGATAACAGACCAGGTGAGGTTCAGGCTCCAAAATGGCCTCCGGGTGGGACCTCGAGGAGCTCTGCGGGAACCCGGCCTACTACCTCCTGTTCGAGACGGGCAACTCTCGGGACCTCACAGAGTGGTTCGAGATCTAGTGGGGCCTGTCCTACGTCGTCGGGGCCGCCGTCGTGTACTCAGAAAACGTGTCTAGGATTCCAGAGGACGGCTACCGGAACCCAGATAAGACCTACAGGAAGCCAAACGAGATCTCCAGAGACCCTGAGGGCATCTTCGGGTACGTCTAGGGTTGTCACTCGGGCGCTAAGGGGAGGCTCGGAATCAGCCGGGCAGCCAGTGGAATCTAGGGACCTGGATGACGATCAAATCAATACACGTTTACAAACGGACCCTGAAAGGGAACAGAGTTGTAGAGATAAGCGGTATGAGTTGTATGAAGATACCCAGCTGAGCCCCACGTGGTCCTCGCAGATGGCCCGTACACATACTGTGGCTCGAAGTCTGCAAGTTTCACCGAGGACTGTCCCGCCAGGGAGTGCCTCTCGAGATGCACGGTCACCCTCACACCTCGACGATGCGCAAGGCCGAGCTCCAGGCGGAGCTATGCCAATGGGACGAGGACTGCCGCCACATGACGGTGGAGATGCTCCGTGCCAGACTGCGGCAGATCCACAAGGCGATGCCCCTCGAGGTGAGGCCAACGTCCATGCACAAGAGAAAGGCGGAGTTGGTGAAGGACGCGGAGGATGCCGGATGCATACTCACAGGCAGGGAGACAAAGGGGGACCTGCAGATCCTGATTGTCGAGAAGTGCAAGGAGCTAGGTGTCCAGGTCAGTCCCTCCGAGATCATTCCGTTCGGCAGGCACCGCGGCCAGACGTACATCCACCTGTTCGAGAAGGAGCGCGAATATGCGGGCTGGTTGGTGAGCATGCGGGACCCGAGGTTCACGAAGCTGACCGACTGGTTGATCTCCAAGGGTGTGAAGGCCGAGGACATGATGAACAAGGAGAAGTTCGAGCTTCCCCAGCCGGAGGTGAAACACGAGAAGTCGGAGGGCCAATGGTTCATGGTCAAGGATGTCAAGGACGAGAGCGCACAGAGGATCCCGAACCGTCCGACGATGAAGAGGTCGTGTCACGAGGAGCAGGTCAAGATGGAGGTCGTCAAGACCAAGGAGGATCAGATCATAGACCTGCTGGGGGACATGAAGAACCAGATGCACGCGCTGACCTCGAGAGTGCAGAAGGTCGAGGAAGGGTCGTCGACGGCCGCCCCGTCTGGGCGGGCCGGCAAGGGCCCTTGAAAGAACTTACGAGCTCCCAGGCGACCTGGCTGGCGGGGCACCTGGACAAGAGCGTTACGCCGGCGTGGTCGCTCCTGACGGACACTGCGAAGGTCAAGCTAATGGAGGTCTGTTGCTCACCAGCATCAGGTCTAACCACCTTCATGGAGCAGGAGTCAGGAGCGGGCAGTGCATCACGAATTAGTGGTTGGAACGGTTTCGACCTGTCGACCGCTGCGGGTTTACAGAAAGCGCGTGCCGAACGTCACCGAGTGCGACCCTGTCACCTGTGGTTCTCTCTTCCTTGTGGGCCATGGAGTGGCAATCAGAATTTCAACATCCACAAACCTGAAGTCTGGGCTCAGGTTCTGCAGAGCCGTAAGAAGTCCAAGAGGTTGATCAGGAACTGCCTAGCCCTAGTCATGGATCAGGTCGCAGATCAAGGTCATGTACATTGGGAGTGGCCGAAGGACCTCTCACCTTACCGCTGGCCCGAGCTCCGTCAAGTTTTCCGAGACGCTGAGATGCAGGCCACGGTTTGTGACGGCTGCATGCTCGGGGTTAAGGCCATAGACACGGGACTACCGATGCAAAAGCCGTGGGAGATTTGGTCGACGTCCAGTGTCCTCCGACAGCGACTGGCAGTGCGGTGTGATGGGCGCCATTCTCACTCTCCGTGTGTAGGCGGAGCCAGGACAGCGGCCACGGCATATTATCCCGACGAGTTCGTCCGGAGGGCAGTCAGAGCAATGCTGCACGAACCAGGATACCTGGAGATCAAACGACACATCGAAGAGCAGGAGGGTGAGAACGACCTGGAGCTGGGCTACACGGTCTCGAAGTCTGAGGCAGAGATCGACGCCGACACGCTCAGAAAGGTGGAAATTTCAGCTCGACGTATCCATGCGGCGTGCGGTCACTGCCCGTTCGTCCAAGTGGCTAAGTCGTTGGCAGCCAAGGGCGCAGACAAGCGGATCATCGATCATGTCAGGCAGATGCGTTGTTCAGCTTGTGACGAGAGTCAGAAGCACTGTCCGCCACGACCGGTGGGGTCAGCTGACGAAGTTCCGAAGAAGTGGGCAGTGCTTCAGAGCGATCTGGCTGAATGGGAGGATCCATGTACTCACGAGAAGTTCAAGATTGCCCTCTACCTGGATATGGGAAGCCGACTTGGAGTAGGACACACATTATTCAAGATGGTCAAGAGCAGGAACGCCACGGCAGAGGATCTGAAGGACTCACTTTGGAGCAGGTGGATCGGATATTTCGGTCGACCTCGTGTGCTCCAGGTAGACCCTGAAGGTGCGTGGATGAGCAACGCTATCCGGGAGAACCTGGAAGGCAGCGGTATTCAGATGGATCCCATCCCAGGCCAAGCTCATTGGCAGATCGGAGGGGTCGAGAGACTCATCAGCCTCATCAAGGACACCATGACGGTGTTGGCGAAGGAGCATCCTGGGAGATCATGCGAAGAATACCTGGCCAGGGCTATGGCCGCGTACAACGAGTTCGACCGACACCGGGGTTTCTCACCCCTGCAAGTAGCACTGGGACGGGCACCAGATCTAGATGGTGCGTTTGTCGACGTTCCGGGTGACCCGATCAACCTTCCAGCCCTGGAATCGGAGGCCGTAGACACAGAGTTCGGGAACAATTTCCAGCTCATGAGGAAGGCTCAGGAGGAGCTTTTGAGGTGGATCTACGGCGAGCGAGCCAGACGTGCAGCACATGCCAGGTCTCGACGACTTCGAGTCTACACGCCCGGCACCCTGGTCTACTACTTCAGGAATCCGAAGAGTAGCTCTATGACTGGACGTTTCTACGGACCCGCACGTGTGCTGGCGAGCGAGACTGTCCACCGGCACGGTGAAGCTCAAGCTCGACCGAGAGTGTGGCTCAACGCGTGCGGGAGGCTCATCAGGTGTGATCCGTGTCAGCTGCGAGACGCTTCGGATCGGGAGATTGCCGAGCACGACATACTGCATGGAACCGAACTGCCGTGGACATTCAACCAACTCACGAGCAACCTGAGACCAGGCCAGTTCGAGGATCTGGCGGAGGACGAGCGTCTCATACCTTCCGATCGTGACTACGATGAGGCCTCAGGAGTGCCTCCTCTACCTACGGTTATGGAAGAAGACCCACCACTGCGTCCTCGACTGCGTGGCAAGCGGAGTCCTGAAGAACATGAGCAACGTTCGAAGGCCCTGAAGACGGACGGCAATACCCCGAGGTCTGCCTCTTCAGACATGGTAGGGACCTTTCCAGCGACACCGGCGAGGCCACCGAACAAGTCGAGGACTCCTTCGACGAGGATTTCTCCATATGCCTGGGAAGGTCTACCGGCCTCCTCATCGGCAGTCGGCGACTATGGCAAGGACAAGTCAGCCAGGCAGTTGGCGAAGGACGAGAAGGAGCAGGGTGCACTGCTGGCTGAGAGTGAGCCCGAGTCTTGTTTCTGGGCCAAGGAAGATAGCGCTGTCGAGCTCGAGATTACTCTTCCGGAAGGAGCTAAGGCTTGTTCAGCGGTGCGAGACCTTGGAGCTTTCGTGGCCACTCAACTGCGGCGACAGAGAGCTGAGGTACGAGAACGATCATTGTCGGCCGACGACCTGGAGAAGTTCAAGAAAGCCAAGTCCAAGGAGGCCCAGGAGTGGATCAAGGAGCTGGTTCTGGAGGCTTTGCCCGATCATGCACGGGTGCCAGCCGATCGCCTCATGCGGCTTCGGTGGGTCCTGACGTGGAAGATAGATCCATCTGAACCTGGCGGACGAAAAGCAAAGGCTCGTCTGGTTATCCTAGGCTATCAGGACCCAGACCTGACCACCGAGGAATCTTATGCTCCAACAGCCACAAGGACAGCCCGGCAGGTTTTCCTTCAGAAGGCGGCACATCTACGAATGCGGGTGGCCAAGGGCGATGTGAAGTCGGCGTTTCTCCAGGGTGAAGAGTTGGATCGTGACCTATTTGTTAGACCGACCGGAGACATCGCGGAGTTTCTTGGCCTTCGACCCGGACAAGTAGCTATCCTTAAGAAGTCAGCGTATGGCCTGGTGCAGGCTCCTCGGGCGTGGCACCAAGCAGCGAACAAGAAGTTGCAAGAGCTGGGTTGGCGACAACTGGAGTCAGATCCGTGCGTGTGGATCCTGACGCGTTTCATCTCTGAGGGCCAACCGGAGTACATCATCGGGATGGCGCTATCTCATGTTGATGATTTTCTATTCGCAGGTCGTGACGGAGATGATGTGTGGGCTCATGCCAAGAAGGCGATCATGGACGCTTTCCGAGGGACCGAGTGGGAGTACGGCAAGTTCACGCAGTGCGGGGTGGACATCCACCAGCGCGAGGACTACAGCTTCAGGTTGGATCAGAAGACCTACCTGGAACAGATCGTGGAGATCGAGGTGCCTCCTGACCGGAGGCGACAGCCATCGTCGCCCGTCACATCATCAGAAAAGAGTCAGTTCAGAGCGGCCACCGGTAGTCTCCAGTGGAAGGGTACGCAGACCGGGCCAGACATCCTAGCAGAGCTGAGTCTGTTGCAGAGCAAGACAGAGTCGTGCACCGTAGATGACCTCCTGAAGGTCAATAAGTTGATCAAGAGAGCCAAGGAGGGTAACAACAGATTCTTGGAGGTGTTTTCGTTTCCCAAGAAGGAATCTTTGGCGGTCATAGGCTGGGGTGATGCTGCATTTGCTAATCGAGTTGACGGAAAATCCACAGAAGGCCGAGTTCTTGGGATCGTCCCGGAGTCGTTTCTGGAAGGGATCGAGACCGGGGTTTCACTGATCAGTTGGCGTTCTGGTAAGGTTGAACGAACCTGTCGATCCCCACCCGCTGCCGAGGTATCAGCTACAGTAAATACAGAGGATGAGCTCACGTTTGTCAGGTTTCTGCTTTCGGAACTTTCGGGGTGGCGACCAGACCTTCGAGATCCCTGGGCCCAAGTTCGACGAGTTCCTGGGTGTCTAGTCACAGACTCGAAAAACCTGTACGACAGACTGAAGTGCCCCGAGAAGCTCATGGGAGGCAAAGAGTTCAGAACGGGTCTCGAACTTCTAGCACTGAGAAACGGCATCGAGGCATGTGCGTGTCCAGTTAGATGGGTTCACAGTGATGCGATGCTAGCGAATAGCCTGACAAAAGGCCATGAGCGTTGGCAATTAGATTTGTTTTTCAGTAACGGCTGTCGATGGCGTTTAGTGTACGACCAAATGTTCGAGTCCGCTAAGAGGCGGAAAGGTCAAGGGATATCTGCCCTAGAGTCCGTGACCGAGCTAGATTTCCGTCCAGACCTTTGGGGTAGCCTCGAAGAGTCTCCGAAGGATTGAATTTTCTGTCTCTGCTACTCGTCAGCTGCCAGCCTATGGATGTGAGCGAAGATATTTTAGGGTCGGTGTCGATCTTTCGATCTTGGATCGTGTTTAAGGTTCGCTCCATCCATAGCCATTTGGCTGCAGGCCTTCATTGAGGGGCCAGCAGGGTCCCGGGGGCCATCAGAGGCCCCCCGTCTTTCTCCTACCTTCTATTCAATCGAGCCCAATACCACACATCTCTCCCTCCCTCCACACTCCGTGTGCAGATATAGTGCTGGTGACGAGTACTGTGCGGTGCAGGCGGCGCTGCTGGAAAGAAGAACGTGCAGAGCTGCTTTGGAGGACAGCTCGAGGGACGAGGTGTATTCAACCCTGTGAAGCTTCGCTTCACAGAGGGGGAGGGGGAGGAGGAGGAGGAGGAGGAGGAGG